CTCTCTCTGTCTCTGTCTCTGTCTCTCTATCTCTATATGTCTCATGTACCTACACATGACTATAACAAAAAGGACCCTTACAGATGGTTATAGTATATAAGAAGGACCCACATCTCTGAGAGTAAAGTAAGTTACTAGGTCACAATGTCACAAGGTCACAACTTGAGTTTACAATCTAGTTTCCCTGTCCTTCAACTCAGTTCTTAATCTGCTAGTGGATTGTCAAAACTGACTGTGAAGACTTGGAAGGGGCACTCACTGGAGAGGGAGTGCAATGACAGTGGCACTAATGATGGTTTTGAGTACCCCATTGTAGGTGGCAGCTGATCCCAGATAGCCTGTGCTATGCAGATAAGACCTGATAGTTCCCTTACCTATGCACCACACCCTCATCGAAGGCTGCAGGAAGCCTGAAAAATCATATGCACATTCCACCATTCAGGACACCAGTACCTCCCTTCTGATTCGAAACCTCCTGCTCTGGCCTGGGTCCTCCAGTCTATGGCTCCTACCTGTCTTCAGTCTCTGCTCTGTTCAGTCGGATTGATGCTGTGGTTAGTATTTCTTTTAGTTTTGTCCTAGACATGCTTTCTTAGACCCCTTGAAGCACTGTCATTGATTAGTTAACGGAATGGTGAGGGGTATGAATTATTGCTGACTCTGTCCTCACCCATAGCCCACCCCAGCTTCCTCCCTGTCTTCTTATCACCTCTGTTGTCCAACCTCTCCCTCACTAGTGAACCTGTTTCCTATAACAAGAAAAAACTCATCATGCCTTGTGGCCATAGATTGAATCTCATACATAGCTGTTTGCTTGATAACTGTTTAAAAAGAAAAGAAAGAAAAAAAAACAAGGCTTTTAGAAGCATCTCTCTGTAAAATAGGAGGGTCATGAATGGTCCAGAGACAGAATCACTTTGGGTTTCCAGCTTGACTTCATAGGTTAAGCATTCATGCATGCAAGAGCAAAGTCAGGTTCTTACTGATGGTCAGCTTGGAGTCTTGGGCTAACCACGCTTGTATTGATGCAGGAACTGGCAGCCTGACTGCATGCTGGATGGTTCAGAGGATGCCAAAGTTCGAATGCAGAAGGTCCTCCAAAGCCCCTTGTGTTGAAGGCTTGGTGCCCAACCTGTGGTGCTTTTGGAAGATGGTGGAACCTTTAAGAGGTGAGGCCCATCAGAAGGAAGTGAAGTAAGTGATCGCAGGTGCACTCTTGAAGGGGATATTGGGATGCCAGTCTCTTCCTGCCCACCACACGCCTCCTGTACACTATAAGGTATACAGGCCTTCTCCACTATGTGCTCCACAATGATGTACTCAGAACAACAGAGCCAATCAGCCATGGGTGGAAGCCAGTGAGGCTGTAAGCCAAAATAAAGCTTTCCTCCTTTAAGTCCTTCATCCTAGGTATTTTGTTGCAGTATCAGAAAGTTGACCAAGCAGAGAAGTTCATATGAAATAAACCTTGTATAATTGGTGAGGTGCTTAGTGGTGAAGGCAGGTCAGAATCGCTGGTGTATTTCTTGGAACTCACCCACTTTGGGACCACTTTCAAAATGAAATTCAAGTACAGCAAGGCCCATAGCGTCTTCCAGTAATACAGATGCAGCATCTCCTTGGATTTACCTCCCCGGGCCCTCATTCCTTTCAAAGCAGAGGCTGCTGCTTTGTCATAGAAACCCTGGGTTTTAATTCCAATGGTACACCTTATTGACTGTGTCATCTTGGGAAAGTTTTAGGTTTCTCTGAGCCTCTTTTTTCTCATCTGCAAAATGAGATCATGCAGTAGTTAGAGTGAGCTCCCAGCAGACCATTCTCTGAAACACATGGAAAATCTCTCACCCAATTGAAGAAGGACAAACCCTAATTGAGAAAGGCCATCTCTCATCTCAAGGGGTGGGAGTGACACATGGGCTTCCAGTGCTAAACTGCCGCCCGCCACGGCACATGTAGTGATGGCTGTTAACATATGCAGGGGCAGGCAGCCCAGATTCCTAAAATATTCTGAAAACCAGTAATAGCCTTGGTGTTGTCCCCTGTTAAATATAAAACTTAAGTAATTCATTCTATTAAAAAGCCTGAGTCTTATTTTTATCGGGTGATGTGATGAGGCCCTGTTCTAAATGCACCTCTTGTGCCTGTCTCTATAGCAACCCCACTCTGCTCAGATAGCCATATAATTTTCCTGAAGGCTAATTAAGTTGACAACTGCTAGGGCTTCTTGGTTTACCAGATTTGCACTTGACCCTTCACTTGGGGCTTAGGGACCCCTATGGATAAGAAGTGATAAAGAAAAGAATAACAGGTGGAGGAGGCCTCTCCTGGACCCCTCTTTCAAATAGTTGCTCAGCAGCCTTTGGGGTTGTCAATCACTCTTACTGGATGAGCCAAGACTTAGTGGAGGTGAGTGGGAAAATGTTTATGTGTGTCTGTCTCTCTTCCATGAGCGAGGCGGCACCAAGTATGGATGGCGGAGCCATACCGACCTTTCATATCAGCTGCTCAAGGGCACTACCTCTGCCATAGTATGCTGGCTTCCCTGTCCTAGGCCTGAATAAAGATGGGTACTTGGGACAAGTGAAATTTGCAACAAGAGGGAGACCAAGCAAAGGTGTTCCAGCCAGATCTAAGGGGTCCAGGTTGGGCTTCTTCAGGGAAGAGTATTGTCCTGTCGGCTGTTTCATGGAGGCAGCTGTGCTTTCTACTTTCCTAGCAGAGCTCTACCCTCTCCAGGCCTCTCCTGGAGATAGAGCTCATTCACAATTTTTCATCCGAATTCTTCATCCAAAGTAACACTGCCTTTACCAATTTATGTGGAACTCTACCCACTGCAAATCAGTTCCAAGGGATTTCTGGAGTGACCAAGCGTGCCTCACAGACTCAGGTGCACATGACTGCTGCTGCCTGGGGCCACCATGGGCATCTCCCAGGACTACATACCAGGATATGACGGCAGTTCCATCCTCAAATCCCTTTAGGCACTGCAGCTTCCTCTTTCAAGGCAAGCCAGCATACGTTAGGCTTTCTTCATGTTGCACCATGAAAGGATGTACATTTGAGTTTGATTTTTTCTTCTCCCCCAGTAGGACTCAGTCTGGTGATGGGCTCAGCTCATCAGAGTGGGCTCTCTTTCCCTTCAGATCGTTTTTTCAGTAGATCCCTCAACCCCTAGTTTCCTCAACACATAATTCCCACTGAGCCAGTCTGTCATTATCCCAACATGTCAGAATCTCCATAGATGGTCAGACTGGAAATCTTGCTCTGCCACTGATTCCCTGCACTTGAGCAGGCCTGGAGGAAGACCCTGAGTGCTCAGCTTTGTGATTGGCTGCTGCCCACATTTTTCCCTCTGCTTCACCTCCGGAATCGTCCACTTGGGTTCACGTGCTGCAGGACGCATTCCTTCAACTTGAGGCTCCATCTGGCTGTGTCTCACAGGGTGACACCCCACCTCTGTGACCAGCTCTCTGACCAGTCTCTCCTCTGTCTCACTCCCTCTTGCCTCTCTCATCCCCCTTCCCTCCTCACCATGTTCCAACTGCATATTACAACTTAGGGGTCAGCTGGTGCCACTGGAGGCAGTGCGTAGTCTTGGCTGACCACCATGGCTGCACTCCTCAGCTGAATTTGCAAAGGGGCAGAGGAGTCAGATAACTTTCTGGAGCTTCAGAACATAAGGGATCTTGGCTCCGCTCAAGAGTTTGCAATTTCTCAGGTTTGCCTTTTGCGGTCATCATCATCATCTAATAATACCTAGTGCGTGCTGAGGCGGGCATGCCCCCTGCCAGCTACCACGCAGAGTTATGTAAGAGCCTCAGCCCTTAGTGGCAGGCTCCCCAGTGTGGCACAGATGGTTCTCACACTCTGACCTCTTCTCAAGCACACTTTGCGCTGTTTCAACTTCATGTTTCTGTACAAACTATGCTCTTTTTTGCCGGTGGATGGTTTCCCATCCTGAAAGCAGGCACAAATGTCACCTCCGAAGCAATTGCTGACATTCCTGCTTGTCTTTAGAAGGACTTGGTGTCCTGTGCCTAGTCCCCACACTCACTGAGGAATGATCTGTGCATATCTGTCATTGCCCTGACTTGACTGATAGTAACCAAAGGCTATTTGCTTTGATAGTGAACCCCTTCAGGAAGCCATGGACCTCTGTGTGTTCAGAACTGTACCATACATACCACAAAACACAGCTTATAGGATGTCTGAATAACTGTTGATGAAAGGCTTTGATCACTGGAAAATTAAAGGCTTTAATATCTAATCATCAGATAAGTGATTGTCAAATGTAAGAGAAACCCTCTGTGAAGGGGTGATTGGAATGTTGGGGGGAGTGGGATACATTAGTTTGAAAAATACACTTTCAATAATAGTATTATTTGAATTTTGTTACTAAAAATAGTTACATCAGTAGAATAGCCAAAGCAATCCTAAGGCATAAGAACACAGCCGGGGGTACTACAATGCCAGACCTCAAATTATACTACAGAGCTATAGTGATTAAGACAGGTTAGTACTGACATAAAGACAGACAGGTTAAACCAATGGAACAGAATAGAGGATCCAAAAAGAAACCCACAAAGCTATGCCCACCTAATTCTTGACAAAGGTGTCAAAAATATACACTGGACAAAAGACAACCAATTTAATCAATAGTGTTGGCAAAACGGGATATCCACCTGCAGAAGAATGAAATCAGAGCCACAACTTTCACCTTGTACACAAGTCAATTCTAAGTGAATCAAAGACCTCAATTTAAAACCTGAAACCCCGAAACTCCTAGACAAAAGCATAGGGAATATGTCGATGCAGACAAGAACTTTCTGAACAGAACATCAATAGCACAGGAACTAGCCCAAGGATAAACTAATGGGACTGCACGAAATTAAAATGTTTCCATGCAGCACTTTTTTAAAACAAGTTTATTTATTTATTTTTTACTTTTAAGGCATTTATTAAAATGTTCTCTGCCAAGATTTCACCTCAATGTATTACAAAAAAAATACCTTCTCCATCAGTCACTGTGACCAGCATCCACATGGAGAGCCCCGTGGTCAGCCCCTTTGTCCCCCCCTGATGAACCAACTAGATGTTAATACTGCTCTGCTACAAGGTAACAGCTCCTAACCAAACTCATTGGAAAAGGAGTGAAACTTCTGCAAAGTGCACTTTTAAGAAGAGGTACTTTTTGTTTATGTAAAGAAATGGTGACTCCTCTAAGAATAATAAAAGGAGTACTTAACAGTCAAGCACATGATTTGGAGTGAAGAATTCAGATGTTGCTCTGCTGGTCCAGGCTGTTTAATACTCTTCTTGTTCTTCCTGTGGGCCCCCTTCATCAGATAGCACAAAGCCTTCATCGGTGGCCTAGAGAATATCGACAGTCCTCTGCAGTACAGGGTCGTTCTCCCCCTCATTCTCCTGGCAAATCGATTCAATGTTCCTTAGCTTTCCAAAGCAGAAATCTCTCTCTTTCTCCGAGTCTTCAACAGCAAGCTTCAATACTTTGACTTGCTGCATCAGCTCGGCAGCTTCATCATCCCCGTTGCCCACACCAGGGTTCTTCCGCACCATCCCTGCACCAGCCTTAGGCGCTGCAGTAGTTCTCTGTGTTGCAATGGGTCTCTATGGAGTAGCGCGGCCAGAGCTGAGAGGTTTCTTCTGTGTATTCAGAGCCGGAGCAACGTGGGAAGGAGCCACTGCAGTTTCCTGGCCTTGTCTGGCAGGTACAGGGTCAGACTCTTTTCCATCATAATTTGCATCAAAAAAACTTCTAAACCACTGAACAAATTCAAAATTGTCCTGAAATTTTCCTTTTACTAATTTATCCACAGGAATTATTTTGTCAACACCCATCCTCTTGAAACCCACTTGGAGTATACTGAAGTTCTGGATATATTCATGTTCTAGCTTAGCTTGGAATTTCACTTTCTTCAAGGCAATGGAGCCAGGGAATAGCATGTCCATAAACCGACAGTACCCGCAGCCCCTGAACATAACTGTTGTATCTTTGTCAGATTCAACTGCAGAGACTCGTTGATCCAGGCCAGCCCGTCATGTCGACTTAGGTTATCACTGGTGACTGACGTCAAGTACACGTTCGCTGCCATCTTCCCCTCTGGGGGTGGGGGTGGGGGAACGGCGTCAGCTGCCCACGCGTCTAGTTCAAACCGTCGGACCCTGCCCACTGCCCACCTATTTCTTTTTTTAAAATATTTTATTATTTTTATTTTGTGTGTATGAGTGTATTGTCTACACGTATGTGAGTGCACCCGTGTTGTGCAGTGCCGCAGAGGTCAGAAGAGGGCTTCAGATTCCCCTGGAACTGGAGTTAAGGATGGTTCATAGCCGCCATGTGGGTGCTGGGAATCGAACCCGGGTCCTCTCCATGCAGCAAACTTTTATCAGCAGAGCACATAGAGAGCACACAGAATGGGAGAAAATCTTTAACAACTATACTTTAGACAGGGAGCAAATACCCGAATTGACAAAGAACTGCAGAAATTAGACACCAAGGAAATAAAACGACTGATCAACAAACAGCCTGACAAATTGAACAGTTTTCAAAAAAGAAATACAAGCAACTAATAACTTTTTAAAAGTACTCAACTTCCTCAGTCATCAGGGAAATGCAAATTAAAACTACTTTGAGATACCACTTCGCCCCAGTGGGAAGGGCTATGATCAAGAAAGAAATCCAACAGCAATGTTGGGGAGGATGTGGAGAGAGAGGAATCCTTAGTCACTGCTGGTGGGAGTGCACATTAGTACAGATTATGGAATCAGCTTGGAAGTTCCTCAAAACATTGAAACAAGAGCTACCATATGGCCCAACTATCTCACTCGTGGGCATATACCCAGAGAACTCCATACCTTATCATAGAGATATTTGAAGCCCCTGTTTATTGTTGTTCTATTCATTACAGCAAGGAAATGAAACCAACCCAGTTGTCCATCAACAAATGAATGAATAACAAAAATATGGTACATATGTAAAATGAAATATTATTCAGCTCTA